TTCCTATCTGTACCAGTGTACATCCTCTGGTCTAGCCAGACTTGCAAGGTAGAATTGAGATCATGATAGGGTGTGGGGAGGGAAAGCATTTAGGAACTAGAGGAAAGTTGTATGTTTCATCATTGTTACACTGCCCCGACTGGCTTATCTCCTCCGCGAGACCCTTCTGTAAGGGGATGTCCAGTGGCCTACAGGTGGGCTTTGTCCATCTTGGCAATAATTTGTCCAAAAGCAAATCTCCAGGCCTTCATTCACACAGGGGCGAGGTAGATTCCAATCACAGCCTCTGGGCCACTCTGTGAGGTGGGTCACTCGCTGTTAGCTGGCGTCCAGTCAGGTCCAGTTCACGGCGACCCTCCTCATGACTCTTCTTCCGTCTGGGCCCACTGCTGCAGGCACTGTGTCCGTCCACCTTGTGACAGGCCTGCCCTCCCCTTTGTCGCTGCGCCTCGTTCACTTTAGTTCTCTCTACGAGAAAAATGCAAACTAAGTTAAGCGTACAGTTGTATACCATTTTTCACCTAACAGTGATCAAAATTAAAAGTTTAAAAAGTTAAGAGAGAAAACAACATAGGGAAACAAGCACTCGTGGTAGAGGGCGCTGGGTAAAGGAGCGGAGGGCAATTTCAACCATCCACCCAAATGGCAAATACACGTCTCTTTAAACCAACGTGTCCACGCCTAGATATTTCCAAGTGAGGGGAGTTTAAGAAGACAAGCCTCAGAGTATTGAAGGGAACATTGTAACACAAATGACAGGACCCAACGAGTCTTCCATCAGTGGGGCCTGGCTAATTAACTGAAGGTCATCAACAATGGAATAGCATGTAGTAGTAAATCGGGATAGCTCAAGGCAGAAATTTTCTCCTCCATAAAAGCAGCACAAACGCTGGCAAAAAGTAACCAAACCGAATTTTGCTGGGATAGAAATTACAAAAAGAGCTTGTAGCGATGTGCAGTTCTAGAAAGATAGCTGAACCTCTGTAGGAACAGTGAGCTCAGTGGTGTTTTACCCCATCCTGTTCCCCTCCGCCTTA